ATTTGACCAGCAAACAAGAGAGCTTCAGCTTCATTCTCCTTCCTCAAAAATGTTGTAATTTTGTTTTACGGCGTTTACTGCAATCGCTTAAATCTTCAAAAGCGCTTTCCGGACGACCACCTATATTCGACATACATTTCTGCGTTATTTTAACAGTCCCTTGCAACCAATTACGATTTTTTTCTAAGAACGCTTTTTCTGTACGATTAGCAGCTTGCCATTTAGTTTTCATCTCAGATTTAACTCGCGAAAATGTTCGCAAAAATTGTTGCTTTTCCTTATCCGCGAACGTTCGCCGTTTTATGATGTTTCTTTCCACTATATCCAATTTCTTCGCAAAATCTCTTCCATTACATTGTTTTGTAAGATTATATATGCCTTCTCGAGTCATGACATTGAAACCAAAATAATCTAAAACGAGGAACAGCTTAGAATAGTAAAGGGCGTACCAAAAATAAGTATGTCTTGCCTACATACTACTAGTTTAATTTTTTTTTTTTAATATTTTAGGCAGTTTCTAGCAGTAGTTGTTTATAGTATAGTAGAGTAAATTTTTCAAACAAAAAAATGTGGAAAAAAATAATGCTGGCAATTTATGAGTTGGATCGGTCCGCGGGAACAATGCTATACAGGTTGTTCCTAAAGTTTGTTTGCTCAGAACTTTTTTATTCTTTTATAACCCTACATTTATTTTTGCAGTTTCTAATAGCAAATTTAGTTTAGAAACTTTTATTACTCTTAGATAATATTGATAAACACCACCGTTTTCGTATTAAATGCAAAAATGTCCGAATTCAATAACAAAAAAAAAATAAATAAATCTTTTATCATGTTTGAGGCCATTTTATGCAGCACGCTTAAACTGATGTTATTAATCTCCGTTCTTATATTCCCCTTCAGTTCATCCAGCGTGTGCTGCCTGCTTTTGTAAACCTTTCCTTTAAGGTATCCCCAAAGGAAATAATCTGGAGACGTTAAGTCGGGAGAACGTGGGGGCCATAATCCTTTAGAGATTTTACGTTCGCCAAAAAACTGGCGTAAGAAGCGAATCGTCGCGTTAGATGTGTGACATGTGTCCCCGTCCTGCTGCAACCAATAGTAACGTTCATCGTTTTCAAGCAACGCAATAAATTGTGTAAAGATGTCTTGGTATACAATACTGTTCACTTTTGTTTCAAAGAATAAAGGGCCTACTATTCGACGACGAGATATAGCACACGACACTCCAATCTTCTGGGAGTGCAAAGGGTTTTCATGAAAGACGTGAGGATTTTTGGTTGCCCAAATTCTTGTGTTTTGGCTATTCACGTATCCACTAAGGTGAAACCATGCCTCGTCGGTGAAGAAAACACGATCAAGTTCTTCAATCGTAAAAATCTTCAAAAATCTACTATATTCTATGCGCTTTTGTTTATCCAGGTCTTTCAATTCCTGTACACTGCGAACATGATATGCACGAAATTTTAATTTTTTCGTCGCTTTTTGAGCACTACCATATGAAATCTGAGTGTGTGCTGAGAGTCTCCTCGAACTTTTTGAAGGCGAACGTAGTATCACATTTAGAATTTCATTCAATTTCTCGTCGGTTAGAATGGCTGGTCTCCCGGTTTTCTTCTTGTTAGCAACTGATCCACATTCACGAAAACGGGCTATTAATCTCGTTATTGTTGAGTTATTAGGTACTCCAACATCTGGATTGAAAAATATCGTTCAACAACGAAAAGTCGCTGCTCTTGGGAAAATGGCATCTTTGTAAATAAGTGAAAACCGCAATACTACCGATGTGAAATGACAAATTTATGTTTCGATGTCATCTAGATCTGTTGTCGGCAATACCTATGATGCTATCACGCGGTAGGTGATAGAAATATTTCATTGAAAATACTATTAAACATAAATTTATTTTGATGTGCGCGACTTTTCGATCTCTCTGTGTTAAGCATACAAAGGCAACGTAAAATAAACAAAATCTAATTAACAAAAACGAAATATGATACAGAACAAAAAAAGAATATAGTTTTATTGATCTTCAGATTCATCGTACTCTTCACCTATTGCTGGTTCAGTAGTTGTCTCTTTTAGTTTGTTATCTACAGGTAGAGCTTCATACCACAGGTGTAGTTCCTGCGGTATAATTCTGCCCTTTTTACCGTTTAATTCTGACCATACCACACCATGCAGAACATACCACAGATATGTTGCTTGATTAAGTCTACATCCTCAGGTTTTGTTTGGTTTGATGGAGATTTTTTGTCCCGTTTATCCTCTTCCAGAAAAGCTCCACCTATTTGTCCTTTAGAGGCTGTTATGATTGGTCCATTGCTTATGCATAGTGTTGTTTGAAAAAACTTTTGGAAAACCCGTATTTTAATATCATTTTTACGAAAATGAAAGGAACGGCCACACTGTTGTCTTTTATTGAGCGAAACGTTTGCGTTAGGACGACGTGGTATACTCGAATGAACGTATTTTAAAATAAAGTCTTTCTGACGTTGGTGGTAGTTTGATAAACCCCAAAACATTTTACAAATTTCTGCCCTACTGTCCTCATTAGAGTTTTCTACACATTTAAATTTACATTTTGTACAGTCTACTGGTCGGTGTAACTTAGCCTCACGTATGACTTTTTGGGATTTATAAGGCAAGCAATCATAACGTCTCCGGTTTGCAACATTTTTAGCCCAATTGGAAGGATTAGATTTCGACCAACGTGATCGTTTTTGCTTTTGTTTTTGTTCCCTCGTATTAGATGAAGGTGAATTTTCTACAATTTTGTCAAAGTGTGGTACCAAATCTGATACTTCAGAATCAGAGCTACTAAAATTCTGTTGTTTGTTTGTAGATTTTGAGCCCACGTCTTGTTCTTCACAGAGTCATCGCCAGATTCTTCCTAAAAAATAATTAACGTTTAATATTCTCAAGAATAATATAAAAATTGTCTATTTTATTTCAAACTGTGATAGTCGGTTAATTAAAAGGCGACGTTTTGTTTATTGCTCATAAACTATTTTAAGAAATTATTTGCATATCTGTATGTACAATAAGGTATATGGTGGAACCTCGCTTAACAAGTACCTCTCATAACGAATATTTCGCACACCGAGTAAAATAAATCGTCTCGATTAACGATCGATATTTCGCATAAGGAGTGACACGCATAGGGGACCCTTATTCTCGTCACTTTGTTGTGAAAAATAGATATACATACTCTAATTAAAAATAATCATAGGAACACATGAAACCTTCTAATTTTATAAATGTTCAAATATTATGTTTGAGGTTATGTTTTTACTTACCTGTTCCTATTGCATTTTCATCATACGCTGTCCTCTAAATCCATTAGTTCCAAGCATGTTTACACACTTGAAATATTTAAGTAACTAGTCGTACGTTTTAAAGTCTAACGCTACGTTTAATTCACGCTTAATTCACAAAATACTTGCAGAAAATTTACACCACGAGGTTAACTGATCAAGGCAAAATCTGTAACTGGTATGTAAACAAAGTGTATCAAATACATTTCTTGTAAAATCGAGAAACACTAAGTGTTAGTGAATTTTTGCATTTACGATTTACCCAATACCTACGAAACTTGCTTTAAGCGAAGCTCACTAACTCAATTTATTAGTTTAGCTTTTAAAATAATTTTCGAGAATTTCACTTACAAGGGAAGTGTCACAACTGTGTCTCACCGATTTCGATGCAATTTGGTACAGTCATAGAATGGGCCAAAATAAGGTTCGCACATTTTTTTATACGTGCGGTAAAAGCCCCTGGGGCGAGTTATAGGGGTTGAAAGTTTGGAGAAAAAGTACGTTTTCACTTATATTTTGAAAACGAAAAGTGCTATCAAAATTTGGTAAATTGTAACTGATATTCATTTTAAAAGAGCTTTCTTTTGATGTGTCACACATNTACCAAATTTTGATAGCACTTTTCATTTTTAAAATATAAGTGAAAACGTACTTTTTCTCCAAACTTTCAACCCCTATAACTCGCCCCAGGGGCTTTTACCGCACGTATAAAAAAATGTACGAACCTTATTTTGGCCCATTCTATGACTGTACCAAATTGCATCGAAATCGGTGAGACACAGTTGTGACACTTCCCTTGTTAGTACAAAATGCTAGTTAGTGGTTAAGTTATTTCGATTTTCTTAAAAATGTCAGTAAGTGAATTTTGGCAGTAATAGGGCGATATGACACCTTATATTTTTCCATTATTATGAACACTGATAGGTAAAATAATCAAGTCAAAAACGTATAATTGGTGCTGATCATCAAAGAGATACTTTAAAAGAATATAGTGATGTCTTAATTTAATAATAATAAAATGATGTAGGTAATTATCACATCAATAATATTTTTAACCCTAGAACGCTAAGCATATTTCTAACACCACTTGAGGCTAAGCATTCATAAATTTTACAACTTTATTTTTTCATGTTTTTTTCCTTATATTAAAACAAACTTTAACCAACAAAGGCATTATTTATTGTACATAACGATGGTGAATTAACGATTATATAATATTTAGGTACATGTTTTACAAATTTCGCCACTATGTTCATTGCAAAATGGTTTTTTACATTTTAAACAAAAATGAGTTGTCTCTTTCCTCTCTTTTTTGATGGACACCTAGCACAAATGGTTCTGGTGGACTTGTTAGGTACTGTTCTTTCCTCCAGAACTGCCTGTCCATCCTCTGTCACTGTCTCTCCTAGAAGTTGACTTATACTTTCACGGAGTGAGCGCTGCAAAGTTGTTGTTTTGACTCGTTCTTCTAGCCATGGCATCACTAAAAGCTTATACAACTCCAACATGTATCCTTTTCTGGAGATCAGTTTTTGTCGACGTTTTTTCTATGGGCATTGTATAAAATGTAGCTGTTTACACAGGCAATATTTAGTATACCATAGAAAAACTAGAGGGACTATCTTTTAGTTTTCCTAGAAGTACTGATATTTGAACACATTTGGTCCAATATATCCACTGACCCTTTTATCTATTGTATGTCTCAATAATTTTTGGTATTCCTAAAGTTTTTGAGATACTACATCCTTCGCGCTTTGTTGATAAAAGTAGAACGTTTTTCTTCTGTCTGGGTGTATAGGAGACAAGCACTTTTTGTTCGTCAACACAAACTCTAGAGCTACCTGGATCGCGATTCTTAGTTGCTAACATTTCTGCTGGAATCTCCCGTTTATTTTTTCTTACAGTACTAACCATAGTAAGCTTGTGAGGTGGAGCTAATAAATCATCAGCTAGTTTGACGGACGTAAACCAATTGTCCATTGTGATATTTCTATTTGATCCTAAAATTGTTTCACACAATGTTTTTACATAATATTCGCCCAAAGGCATTCCATTCGTGTTTGTGCTTTTGCCCAAGTAGGGCATGGCGTCGAACATGTATTTTGATGAAACATCACATATGAAAACTATTTTTATCCCATATTTTGACGGCTTATTTGGTATGTACATTCGAAAGGGACATCTTCCTCGAAAACCTAATAGTTGTTCGTCAATAGTGACGTAAGAGCTTGGTCTATACAAATTTCTGCACTGATTTATAAATTCGTCCCAAATATCTCGGATAGCCGCCAATGCATCCGATTTTTTTCTTTCGTCCCTCGTGTCTTTATCATCAAAACGTAAACAATCCAATAAAAACTTAAACCTTTCACGACTCATAACTGCCTTGAACACAGCTCCACTTAACTTGTCATCAAATAACTCTGTGGATGACAAATGGTTACTTTTCAAATAAGCTGACAATACCAGTAATCCAAACAATGCTTTTATCTCGTTGGGACTAGAAGACAGATATTGTAGCTGCTTTTGTTTTATATCTAGCAGATTTTTTTTCAATCGTAGAGTTTGTATGCAATACAATTTTATCAATCATAGAATCCGTTATAAATACCTTGAAAAATTCGTTTGCAAGGCGATCATTTTGAAAATTTGTTACTTGACCCGAAAAAATATTAAGTATATTTCGTTGTGGAGTTTTCGATGCTGATTTGATAACTGCACTCCATCGATGACCATTTTTTGTACAAGTCTTACTTGTGATCGAATTGTTTTATTAACCCCTACGATTCTTCTTTGTGAACATGTCTCTGTTTCGGGTGCTTCATGCTCTTTTAGTTGTTTAGGTTTATTATTTCTGGGTGGTCCAGGAAATGAATTGTCCACCGATATTTGATCATCTGCATGTGTTTCTGTATTTGATTCTTCAGGTAAGTCTTAATTTTTTTGCTCTAGGGGAGTCATATTCGTCTTCGCTATTATCCTTTGAAAGAACGTATTCACTTCCACTGTCTTCTAAATCGTCAATCTCTACGGCATCCTCAGTTTCACTCCCACTTTCCTGGGTGCTGTCGTCCTCTGATTCTAGAATTAGGTTTTTTTGCAATTTCCTCAAGTTCGGCTTGAGTAATAGGCTTGTTGTCTTCCCATTGTTTAGACATATTCTTTAGAAATAACTTGTAAGACCTACAAGTAATATTTACAATATAGTTATCTAAAAAAAAATGTTTATTTTTGAATGGTGCAACACTAACAAAAATTACGTTAAGACTAACCTTTCGTAAAATTTACGACGTGCTTCTTAAAACTGCCAATATATTACACTTAAATCAACCAACACCCGCGGTTTAATAATCAACACTGTCGAAGAGAATAGCAAGACGCAGAACTCGATACCCCACTAATCCGCACGATGGTAATCGGAAAGCAAAATCGCCGTCGTAAAATTTACGAAGCTTAGCGTTCTAGGGTTAATCTTAATCATAAGCCATTGATTAATGTTTTGTCAAAGGGCATAAGAAACGGGACTGTTAAGCATCAATATCTTTGGAAGTACTATTTTTAGATGAACTATTTTTAAGAATTACAACATGTGAAGAGATTCAAGATGGTTGTATCAAGTAATGATAAACTGATTGATTCATAATTTATTAATTGGAAAGAAGTATCAGCATTTTTGTGTGATTTTCTAATATTGTAAGTTTCATCTTTACAACAAAGTGAGGAAAAGTGTAGAAAATGTTGTTTTGTTCCTACTTTACACAGTTTCACACTTTACACCTTCTTGTGGTTCATTTTTATAGTATTGTATAATTAAACATGACAATTTTACAATTCAGAATAGTACAGAAAAAGTAGAGTAGTGTTGAACTTTATTTAAGTGTTTTGTTTTTTTTAGATTTGATTAAACTGCTATACAAAACTTACTGTCACGCTTTGAATACGTCTAGAGTCATCGTCTTTCTTATTGTAACCCCCTCACGTGCCCTCACTGTTGCTAGCCTTTAGTTTTCAAACTTCACTGACTGTACAACTTGCATTTTTATATGTCGTCTGTGATTAGATACACAAATGTTTTATGACAAAGAGAGTTTTTGAGTCTACTCTTTTCTTTGGTTATCAAACATTTGTGTATATGCAAACTTTTTTTGTTCACAACTTTTTGTAGGTCTTCATTGAACATAAATTTTGTATACAATTTATTTTCAATGAGCCTCTATTGAATTTTTATTACTACTTTCATTCTTATTTAGTTGCATATATTTTTCGCATGTCTGATACAATTTGTTTGTGGGCATGGCACAATCCTAGGGATTTCTATCATTGATTCTCTTACATTATCAGACTTTATAGACATACAAGACCTTTTAAGATTTAACATTTCAAATTTAAGAATAGCAGGTAACCCCAATATTGGTACTTCCAGATCGTTTATAATATACACAGAAAAGCTGTGAGTTTTTGATCTACACAGAGAGTTAGACCTAATTTTCCAACTGTCTCTAAACGACAATTATCTGGACCTGTGCCTATTTCTTTACATTTCCTTTACATTGTTTTCTATAAACTTCCTTACTTACTAGGTAAAAAATTAACATCTACTAAAACCACTATAACCTGATTTATTTTGTTGATTTTAATTGTAACTAAAGTTTGATTATTTTTACTATAAGACATCCTAAGAAATGCTGATCCTGTTACCTTAGCTTTGTTCGTTGGGACTGCACTACTTGCACTAAGCAGTTTAGTGCAGATGTTGTGTGTTCGTTAGGGATAGTGTAGTTTAATGCAGTTGCACTCGTTGGGCCATGCGCGGTGCAATTTCGTGCAGCGGGTGCAAGTTAGTGCAGATTTTGTTGCACCTGCTTTCGATTAAATTCAATAAGTGCAGTGTAATTTAATGTAACTAAAATGGCAGAATATTTGAAAGCGTGTTTTGTAATAATTAATATTTGTATTAAATATTAAGAAATAAAACCTTATAATAATTAACCCCTTACTGCATGATTTTTTAGATTTAATTTTAAAAAATCTATTACACTACTCACCTACTCAGAAGTTTACAAACCATTGAAAATATATATACAATTGGTTTTTTTTCAAAGTATTTCAAAAAAAGCTTTATGTGCCATATATGGGACGATTTGAAGTATAAGCAAAAACTAATAACAAGACATTTACTATAATATTTGGTTTTAATTGCATTATAAGAAATATAACATTTTAGAACTAAATTTATTCTACATGAAAATTTAAAAAACAATTTCGATCTTTATTGAAACAAAGGTGAACATTACATTTTGTGCACATTACAAAGGATTTTCCTGTACATTCTGGATATTTACACCGTTGGCGTTCATCAGAAGTCCATTTTGGTAGGTGATTTAGATTGTCCCTGCGAACGTGTTGAGCCGGAATTTCTGAGAACGGGTATTTCTTTTTTTTTAGATCCAGTTTAGGCTGCAAATGATTGCTTGGTCTGCCGCGCTTTTTGGGAATTGTACTTGATTTTGTTAGCACTTCAGCTATTCCTAGTTTGAATTCAGAAAGTGGCATGTACATTTCTGAATCAGCAAATCTCCTTCTCCATAAAAGCCAAGCATTTACACATATTAGATCTATGAAATGAAAGAAAATTCTCAAATACCATTTTTTGGATCTAATATGTATTCGGTAGTAGCCTAGCATGGAGTCCAAGAGATCAACTCCTCCCATGTAGGAGTTGTAAATGCTTACACTTCTCGGGCGTGGTATATTTATATAATTTCTCTGTTTTCGACAAAATCTTTGAACTTCAGACACGTTTTGACTTCCGACATAGGTTGATATGGTGGTGACTACCTTATTGTCATACCAAGCGACAAGTGATATGTCTACGCCATCTACATTTGCAACTTTTTCGATTATGGTACCCCTTCCCTTCTTCTTCAGAACATTATCTGGAGGCAGATTACAGTTCGGTACTCGATTTCTTCTAACTGTACCAAGAGGTAAGATACCACGTTTTGACAAGTATATGAGTAGGTCTATACTTGTAAACCAGTTGTCGAAAAATAACTTATAATTCTGGTTTCTAGGTATCGTTTGCGATAGATTTACGACAACATTGCTGCTCATTCCGAGATCTGGTTGATTTGGTGGTAATTCAGTCGCTCCTGCGTAAATATCGAAATCATAACTAAATCCCGATACACCGCTTAGAACGAATACTTTGTAACCCCACTTGTGGGGTTTCTTAGGGTTATATTGTTTAAGATGGGATCTAGCTTTTGTAGGTATGATTTGCTCATCTACGGCCATATGTTCTTCTTTGGGAATAGTAAGCAATCTTTCCCTAACTTTAGAAAGAAAAGGTCGAATTTTGTATAATTTATCATGTCGTTCTCCTTGATTTACTTGATTATTGTTGTCGTTGAAATGAAGAAATTTTTTGATTTCTTCAAATCTGTTGCAAGACATAACGTCACAAATTGCAGGAATAGCCATTGAAGATTTCCAATAGCTTCTTGTAGAAGGCAACTGTATAATAGACATATAAATAGAAATACCTAAAAATCCACAAATTTCTTGTGGTGTTATATTTGCTGGTTTCTCCGGTCTACACTGAACTGAGTATAAATTTGATTCTTCTGTAATATACTTTACCATCTCCGTTGTGAGAAGGTATTTGAAGAAATCATAAGGCTCTTCCATGTTTATTATTTCTTCCGGCAAATCTTGATTACCGTTGAAAAGTGTAGATTCTGCAGGTACATTCAAAAAGGCTTCAGACCATTGGATATTTTTTCTATCTCGCCTGGTATTATTTCTACGAACCAGTATATTTATTAGGGGCAAATCGTCTTCACTATCCCATTGTTCTTCTTCTAAATTCAGAGGTTTTTCAAAACTTCTGGGCACATGAACCTTACAGTTGAAATTTTGAGGAGAATCATCATCAGACAGATTTTCGTCTTCACTTTCATCTCCATTCGGTACTAACACACGTTTAGTACCATAAAATAGACTTGAATCCATCTAAAAAAATAATATAAAAGACAAAAAAAAATTGCTATTATCGTAAATTGTCCCATATATGGCACGCGTCTACTAATAACTCTAACTGAAAAATTATACCCAAAATATGGAGTATGAAGCTACCAATTCATTCAATAGATACTTACCTTTGATCTAATATTTATTACAGCGCGATAAATTACTTTCTTTCACTGTTTACAATGAACTAAACATTCAGTTTTTATAAAAACTCGCTTTCAATTGTTTGGTGCTACAAAAATTGCAATGCCTCCTAGATCTTATTAAAGACAAATGACGGTTTGACTCGTAAAACTTGGAAGCGAGTGTCCCAAATATGTCACGAATTGAATTAACAGTAAGAAACA